GATTCAGGACAGCTATTCCTCTCAGTCATACCAAAGGCAGCCCTCCTGGTTTTGTATGACCTTGAACTAGGAATAGCTTTTACGTTTTTAAATGATTGGGGGGAAAAAACCAAAAGAAGAAAAATATTTTGTGACACATAAAAAATTGTATGAAATTCAAATTTGTGTTCACAGAGTTTTATTGGAACACAGCACACCTCTTTGCTTACGTATTTTCCTTAGCTGCTTTCATGGGCAGAGCTGAGTAGTTGCAACAGGGACCATCTGAAATATTTGCTACCTGGCTCTTTACAGAAAACGTTTTTCAGGCCCTGCCCTATGTCCTGGTGCTCCATCTGAGCCCAGAAGTACTGAGAAGAGCCAAAGTCTCTGGCCCAGCCAGGTCTGGCTGCTATCAAAGAGCCAAAAAAGAACCCGTTGTCTGGGGATCTTTACTGAGCAGGTTTGGAGGATGGGTAGTAGGTGGGCAGAGCACACGTGGGTGCTTCATATGCTCAGTTCAGTACCTCTGTAAAGTTATTGACGGTGAGCTCTGGAAAGGACTTTAAAGATCTTCTAGTTCATTTTACAGATGAGAAAAGCTGAAGCTCACAGAGATGAAGTCATATCCCAAGGCCACACAGCTGGCTGGCTTACAACCCACTTGTTTTTACTCTCCACTTCAATGCTCTTTCCAGAGTCTCCTGCTCCATCATCTTTCTGATGCTTCTGGAATGAGAGCCTGTGCCTTCAGACTATTACGTGAGCAATGTCTCTTCTTGCAACATTTGCCATCAGTCCCGATGTGGAGTATTCAGAGCCCATGGAAGCACGTGTGACTCTAACCTGGAAAGTTCCCATATCTGACATCAGGATGCTATCTCATCAATAAAACCAGGAAACCTCTAGAAGCAATGACTTCCAATCATCTGGAACTCCGGGCTAGGCATAAGGGCACAGAGTAGCTTTTGCCATTCAGCAGTTGTTCTGTTTCTGCCTTCAGCCCCAAGACCTTTCCAGCAACAGCCTCTCAAACATGACCATGTATCTAATTAAAAATATGGATTTTTCTGCTGTAAATTAAAGCCCAAATATAGCTTCAAAATTTGCTTGTCCCAGTACATTTAATAATACCTAAATGCTCTCATGTGTTAAATATTCATTCATTTTTTTCCATAACCGCTTCCAATAAATATTGATGATTGTCTAACTTTGAAAATGGCTATGTACATGGGAGAATATTCATGTGTGTCTCATTGATTTTCCTGACAGGGCCAAATGGAGCAGGTAAGCCAATTTAGCACAACCAATTTCCAATTTTGCACAGATTGAATAGGAGAAGTGCTGTGGAAATGAATAATCAATCTCATACCATCATTAATAATAATATTTAACTCCCGTATAGCTCCTTCCATCTTCTAAGCACTTTACCAACATTAACAAATTTATTCACTAATACTCCAGGGAGGCCTTTTTGTAATGGGAACAAGAAGCCAAGTGGAATATAAATGGCCGCCTAGGGCTAAGGGACAAGCAAGTGCCAAGGTGCAAAGCCGGAAAACCTCTCGAGAGTCTCAGTTCCCATTGGATCCTCTAACCTCTTAAATACCAGGAGAATATTGCAAGCCTATGAAGCAAGTATAGTTTTTGAGTCTTAGATTTATAAGGTGTGAGTTCACCATAATAGTAAGAACTACATTTATTACTATTTTTTGAACACCACGTTGTGCCAAACACTGCTAAGAACTAGGCGTGTTAAAAGAAGAGAGCCTCTGCTCTGAGGAAATGAACAGTTAGTGAGAGAGAGGGAGACCGACTCCCCAAACAGCACGCAGTGGGATGGAGACCATGTCTGAGATGGACGGAGGGAGCTACAGCTCCCTGAGGAGAACTCCGCACACCCTGAACACCTGCCCTGAGAATTAGAGTGGGGGATTTGAGCAGGAGAGAGAGACATTCTAGAGAAAAGGAAAAACATAGGGGAAAGATGGCGTGGAAGAGCATTGTGTACTCTAGGAACTGCAAACACTTCAGCTAGACGGGAGTGAAGAGTAAGACAATGTGATGCTGCCATTGCAGCAGACTGAATTTTCCAAAGATAGCTCCAATAATATCTCCCACCCTGCTTACTCTTCTACAAGGTGACCTTGCCACCCTCCCCCATCTAGAGGGGGAGTTATGTCCCCTCCCATCAAATCGGAGTGGGCTTGTGAATGCCTTGACAAATGAGTAGAGGGAAGTGATGCTATGGAACCTCCGAGGCTGGGCCAGAAAAGGCAATGCCACTTCTGCCTTGCCCCCTCCCTGGACACTTGGAGTACTGACCCCAGCTAAGAAGTCCAACTAGCCTGAGGCCATCATGTTGGTGCTCAGGTCTATAGCCCCATCCGAGGTCCCAGCCAACAGCCTGCATCAACTCCAGATCTGAGGGATAACACTTCCAGATGATTCCAGCTTGCAGCTGTCAAATACCTCTGGCTTGGAAGTCTTTCCAGCAGAGAAACCAGACACCAGGGAGCACAGACAAGCCATCCCGGTTATGTCCTGTCCACATTCCTGACTCACACAGTCCACAAGCTTGATAGAATTGTTGACATTTGGAAACAATTCACTCTATAGATTTTCTACTTTATTATCAGGCAGTAGACAACCATTGAAAAGTTTTCAGGGGAAGTGTGGTATCATCAAGTTTTGTGTTCAGGCTGAGGGGCAGGAATGAGGGATCCTTGGTGAAAGGAGAAGCCCATCTGATTGGTGGTTTCTGTATCCTTTTCATGGGTGGATCTAGGGCATCACCTTGCTGTTACTGTTGGCTGGTTTTGTAATCACACCAGTCTCCCTCTAGCCCAGTGATTTTTACTTTTGGCTGTACGGTGGGATCACTAGGGAACATCAAAAATATTCCATTTCCTGAGCCCCACCCCAGATCAACCAAATCAGAATGTCTGGAGAGAGGGCTCTGGAATTGGATTAGATGATTTTAATCTGCATTCAAGGTTAAGAGCACTGAGCAAGTTGCTCACCGACCATACAGCCCAGGCTAAGGAAAGTGGTTCATGCTGTAAATCTCAAGCTTTGTTGAGAACTACCCTTACAAATTGCAAAATTCCATACACCCTCTTGCCGTGGTAGAAGAGAAAAAGAAGGTACTGGACACTGGCACTGGTTACTGTAACAGAAGCAAAGGAAAAGCTACAGACCTGAGGCCATATTATGAAAAAGATGTGAGGTCCTGGCTGGTGAATTTATCAAAAAGGGAAAACTGAGATTCTTTCATCAGAAGGATTGCTTATTTAGAATAGAGAGCTCCTTCTTTAAAGCAGAGCTTCCCAGCATGGTCTGATGAAGATCTCTTCCAGCAAACCATGTTCTTTTGCTATGACACTGGCCTAAACCAAAATGTGCCAGTTCTATAATCACAACTCACATCTGAGAAACTGAATAAGAGAGTGAGACAAGCTCCCCTGTGTGCATGACTATAGGGGGGAGGAGACAGGGCCAGAGTTGTAAGATTAGAAAGTGGACAGGTCAGGGTGGCATAGAAAGGGACTGAACAGAGAGTGAAGTCATGATGTTTGGTGACGCTGAGTAGGCCACCTGACCTTTCTGAGCTCCAATTTCCTCATCCATATAAGAATCTAGGATGAGTCAGAGGTCTCTTCCCCAGCTTGAAATCATAATACCTTTTTTTTTTTGCTACAAAGAGGAGAGAGATTGAGAGGAAAAGAGGATGAGAATGTAAGGGGGAAAAGCTTGAAACTATGATGGTTAGGTTCCGGAAACCTCTGTATTTTGCTTTGTAGTAAATGTTCTACCCCTGAGTAGCCACGAGTCCTGATGCCTAGCACCTCATTACTCTGGGCATTAACCATGTGTTTCTGACGCTTCCATACTGGGGTTTTCCTGACTCTGGGCTAGCCAATTCCTAGAGGCAGTAAAGAACTTACCTACAAGCACACCTTCCATATGCAAACCACCCAGTCCAAAGCCCACACGCCAACCACCTCCTTTATCAGGCTCTTGCAGGGCTCTTCCTTGCTGGGGGCCACTATGCACCTGCCCTAATCACCCCAGGGCCAGGCACCAGACAGGCACAGCCCCTATCCCCCAGAGCCCCACTGAAATATTCAAACCAGTCCATCCTTAGTCTGCTTACCCTGCCTCACCCATTCCTTCCCCAGGGAAACCTCAATAAAGACTCTTGCCCAAGTTTTCCCTCCCCCTCTGCCTTCTGATCCACACTGGCGCTTCCCAGTGTCGCCCTGGGTGGTGAGGCATGCCTTCTCCTTTGGGGAACTGTGAGTAATAAACTATCTTTTAATGGCAGTCATCTCCGGATCTGTTGGCCTTGCCATCCCCGAATAATTAAACCCATATTCTAAAGCATTATGACCACAGCGTTCTCATTTGTAAATCAAAGATGAGAATGGAGCCTCCCTCCCAGTGTTTCTGAGGGCAGTCACGGATCACAATGACACAAATACAGTCCACCAAAGCACACCTGCTTAGAAATTACAGAGACATTTCAGATCAGTACATAAAAGCACCTTTGGAAGTCTGTGTGTTGTGATGGGCTGGTCCAGGCACCTGTTCCCTTGGCCTTAGATCTGTACAGATTGCAAAGGAAAATTGTCTGTGCTGTCACAGCTGATTGGGACAGAAATTGGGGAAGCAAATACAAAGAAGTCCTCCAGCATGACCCAGCAATCATGGGCAGTGTTGCATGGAAGAAATTGACATTAACCCTTCCAGACAAACACTCCACATTCAACTGTATGTATTGCCATCATCCCAGCAGCCCATTATGCCTGAATTCGTATCATAATGGTGCACTGATATTATATGAAAGGGACCTATAGTCTCATTTCAGTCTCCCCATTTTCGTAGCTTTCACAGCAGGTTTAATTTCACAGCTTTTAGTTTCATGACATTCAAATACCAACAATTGATTGGGGGGAGGGGAGAGACCCGAGTTTATTGGAAATATCAGTCACTGTAAAAAATCCTGAAGGAAAACTCACCACTTTGTAAAAGGTCACCAGATAAATAATTGCCTTCTGAATTGGGATGATTCCTGTTGTCATTAAGCCCCAGCAGCGATCTAATATGCTTTAACACTTCTGCTAAATGCCGGGAGACAGCTTTGCAATCGCAGTCACATAGACAATTAAAGCTAAGCAATTGGTGCCTGAGTCAGAAGTCTTTTTCTTCTTTTCTCCCTTTTTTTTTTATTCATAAGATGAAATGTTATCCATTTCTCAGCTCTTATCCTCCCTTTTTGCACTGATAATCATTTTATCCCTGCAAACACAATCGATTTGGAGCTTAGTTCCTCAGGCCTAACTCAAGACTGGCATTAGCTTCACAGCCAATGTCTCTCATTCCAGCTCTCACGTCTCCCCCCCCCAACAAACGAAAAAAAAAAAAGTGGAACCAACAAAAAAGGGGAACCTTCCAAAACGGCCCGGGAAAGGGCCGCCAAGAAACGAAATGGGGTCCCCCAAAAACCAAAAAAGGAAACCCCAAACCCCAAGGGGAACGGAATTGGGGATAGGCCCTGTAAGGAGGTTGTCATGGTAACATGAGGTCATAAGGGTGGGGTTCTGATTTGATAGGGTAAGTGTCCTTATAAGAAGAGATACCAGAGAACTGCTCTCTCTCTCTCTCTCTCTCTCTCTCCCTCTCTCTCTCTGCCATGTCATGCCACAGTGAGAAGGCAGCCCCTGCAAGCCTGAAAGAGAGCCTTCACCAGAAACAGAAACCTAACAGATCTTGATTGGACTTTTCAGCCTCCACAACCAGGAGAAAAATCAATTTCTGGTGTTTAAGCCAAGCAGTCTGAGATATTTTGTTATGGCAGCCCAAGCAGACTCCTACAGTGGCCTTTTAGGGACAGCAAGAAAGAGATCTCCTCATCTCTCCACTGAGCAAGTCCTCACAGCCAGAACAGACTGTGGACACAGCTTGGCTAGCAGAGATGTGGGACGATTTCACTGACTAAGTTTCCTGCCTGCAGAGAGGGAGGCAATCATGTTCACCTCCAGCCACTCGGGCAGAGGGAACAGATGAGGACAGTTGATAGCATTGGACCTTATCTAAGGAAGGGACGATGTACAAAAGCTCTTGTGATTAGGCATTTTGTGCTGGTGTGTGACTGTCTGACATTTTTCAAGAGTTATTCACACTAGAATAAGGAAGAGGGCATGTCAGCATAGTGGATGGCTAAGTAATGGGGCTAACTGGAGCAGTGACAGGATTCACTTTCCCCTTGAAAGCTGGTCCTAGAGTTATTGGTAAAAATGGCCCATCATGCTCACTGACCCATACTCCCCCTAGCTGCTGCAGGTTGTTTTGCTAACTGCTGCTTTGCTAAATGAAGTTAATCCAGCCCAGGACCTCCCGGTGAATCTTTGTTTAAGCTGTGGTGCTCAAGGAGCTCCTGAGCTAATCTGAGCCTGTAACCAAGTAGTGTGCACTGATTGGCACGTCCCAGAATTGAAACCACAACATCATAGACAAGTCTCCTGAACTTGGATTTGAATGGGTGTAAATCAAAATGAATTCATCAAGAAGGTTTAACGTTGCTTAGGAGAAGTTCCTGATTCTATTACACAAAGCAAAATAACTTTGTGTGTGTGTGTGTGTGTGTGTGTGTCCTTAATTGATTTCTTTTCCAGGAAAAATACAAGATGTAGAAACCATCTTTTATTAACCCAGCATTTCCAGGGCAATCACTCTCAGTTAGAAGCTTTATACAGTAGTAGCTAATATTTATTGAGTATTGTATTAATATCATTATATGTATTACTTTATGTAAGTCTAACAATAGCCTAACAAGGAGTGTATTATTATCTCCCATTTATAGAGAAAGAAACTGAGACTTGGAAGGTTTGGTAACTTACTCAAGGTAATAAAAAAGTAACAAGATTAGCCTTCAACCTAGGTTCCTCTGGCTCCAATGCCTATATATGGTTCCTGTATTTTATTAATCTTCACAGTAACCTTATGCAGCAGGGATTATAAACCTATTTCATGGATCAAATAAAGTTACTTGCTCAACAGCACACAATTGCTAGTAACAGAGCCAAGCCTCAGCCAGACCTGAGCAAATTCTAAGTACATGTAATTAACATCATGGCATATGTACAAAATGCCCAAACTACTCAAATTTTAGGGTGCACTACCACTTACCATTCGACCCAGTGATTCTACTCCTAAGAATCTACCCAAGAGGAATAAAAACATACACCCACAAAGACGTATTCACACATGTTCTTAGAAGCATTATTCATAATAGTCCTAAAATTAGAACAAAGCCAAATTTCCATCAACTAATGAACAGATAAACAAAATTGGGTCTATTAGTGACAATGGAATATTGTTTGGCAATAAACAGAAATGAAGTATTGGTATCTGTGCAACATGGAGGAAGCTCCAATAAAAACATTACGTTAAATGAAAGAGGCAAGACTCAAGAGACCACATATTGTAACACTTTGTATAAATTCTTATAAAAGAAATATCCAAAAAAGACAAATCTACAGAGACAGTAGATCAGTGGATACGTGGGACAGAGGTGGGAAGAAACAGAATTGACAGTAAATGGGCATAAGGAGAGCTTATTGGGGTAATAGAAGTACTTTAAAACTGCTTTATGATAATTGCTGCACAACCTGGTAATTTCACTAAAAATTATTGAATTGTACATTTGAAGTAGGTGAATTATATATGTAAAATATGCCTCAATACAGTTGTAAAAAAAATTTAAGGTGCAATTGAATCATCTTGGGATCTTGTTACAATGCAGATTCTGAGTCAGCAGGTTTGGGGCAGGGCCTGGTGTTTGCATTGCTAATAAACTCCAAAGTGATGCTGATGCTGCTGTCCAAAGACCACACTTTGAGTGTGGTCAAGGAGACAGATGTCCCAAATTCCTGCCTCTCCAATTCAGCTAACCCCAGACCCATTACACCCTTGCTTGGGCTTCATTTATGAAGATGGAGCATTCTCAATGTTCTTGTTCTTGATTCCTCATTTGTATTGGATCACGGCATGGTTGCACCAAATTCTAACTGAAAAATTTTTATTTTTTCCCCATCTTTTTCTTATTTGCCTACACCAGCAGGTGAAATTTTAGTTGATCAGGCTCACCCAAGGAGCTGAATATGCAGATTTCCTGATCCATCTCTGACATTCTGAATGAGTAGGTTATGACTAGGAAATCTGTCTTTCCAACAAGCACTTCAGGTGATTCTTGTGCAGGTGGTTTAAGGATTATCTTTTGTGAAATGCTAATCTAAACCAGCACAGTTCAATAGAAATAAAATGTAAACCTATATGTAGTTTTAAATTTCCTAGTAGCTACATTTTAACAAGCAAAAGAAACTGGTGAAATGAGTTTTCTTAATAATATATTTTGTTTAACTCACTAAATCCAATATATTATCATTTTAATATATAATCAACATAAAAATATTTGAGATATTTTACTTTTGGGGGGCACTAAGTCTTTGAAATCTGGTGTGTTTTACAAATTTATCACACGTATATATTCAAGCTAACCACATTCTAAGCACTCACTTGTAGCCAGCCACCTGAGGCCTATCGAATCATAAACTGTGGTGTGGCCCAGCAATTTGTGTTCTAGCAAGCCCTATAGGTGATTCTGACATTCACTTAAATTTGAGAACCACAGATCTAGGCTATTGTTTCTTGAACTTGGCTACACATTAGAATCACTGGAAAACTTTTTTTAAAAAGTGTATGCATGGGTTCCATGCCCAGAAATCAAGATTTATAAAACGGCCTTCCAGATGACTGTAATTGCCGCAAAGTTTAAAAGCTGCTGCTCACCGTCTCTCATAGATGCCTCCCTTACCTTGAGCTCCAAAGTCAGTTACTGGGTCCTTATCAGCATTTTCGGTAAAATTTCAGTCTCTTCTCACCAAACCTCCCATTTCCAGGTTTCTTATTTATTCGACTTTGAGTTTTTAGACAAAAGGAATCTTTTTAACCTATTTCTGCAATTACCTTCCTAAAAGGGAAATCCCTTTTTAAAAAAATTTTTTTTTATTTCAGCATATTATGGGGGTACAAATGTTAAGGTTACCTATATTGCATGCCCCCCTCCCCCCTCGAGTCAGAGCTTCAAGCGTGACCACCCCCCAGACGGTGCACATCTCACTCATTATGTATGTATATACCCATAAATCATCCTTTTACTTTTCCAGGGTCCCTTTTTAAAATATGCATCTATCAGTTTCTCCCACATGCTTGCTAGCCCCAAGGGGCTTGACTTACTCAGCAACTCTCATCCCTTTACCCCACCTCCCGCAGCCCCCAAGGACCCTACTCACCTTTTGGGAGCATCAGCCTACTCATGGCTCCATCCCACTGCCAATGTAATCCAGAACTTTGGACACTTATCTGTGACTTCTAATTGGGGTCTTGCCATCTCTTTCCCCGAAAGCCCAAATCTTCCTAAAAAGCCTCCTCCAGGGAAAGAGAATAAGGACAGAAACCCATCCCAGGAGCCCCTTTCTCCACCTTTGTGAACAGTTTCCATTCTGGTAGATCTCCATTTCCCATACCAGCTCACTGGGAGAGGAGGAATCTTTGGGAAGGTCATCTGATTATGTGTGGAGGAGCATTAAAAATCAGGCTGTACTCCCATGTCATAGACTGTGCATGAAATAGCAGCTGCCTGGTATGTGTGTGTGCAGCCCACACAAACAACATAGGTCGTATGTTTACGTATATGTACATATGTATAGTTGAAGCACCCTCTAGTGGAATACCTAGAGAAGACCTCATTTTCTGGAGAAACCCTCAAAAAAAGAAAAAAAAGAAAGAAAAAAACAAAGAGCAGGGTACTTTGAAATCTTATCTGGCCACAGCATCGTGAGAAATGAGAGCACAAGTCTGTGGTATATTCGTGGTCACAGCAGGTCACGCAAGGGTGCTGGCCAAGCCAGTGTCCGCCTGGGCTGGCTGGGTGAGGAAGGGCTGTGGGCTGAGTTGACCTCTCCTAGAGTCCTTACATGAAGGTCTTTGTTCTCCTGCTGCCTAAGTTATGGGAAAGCAGTGTTTAAAGGTCCCAGCTTCTACAAAGGAAGTGTTTACAGATTACTGTGGGTTCCTTTCAGTTGGAGAAGTTGTCCCTCCCAATTTCAAATTGGGGGAGGGGAACCGAGATGGATTATTCACTGTTGGGATAACTGGATTGCCATCAGGAAGAGGATAAATTTGGAGCTGTACCCTACTTTTTTACACTAAATAAATTCCAAACTGAAACATAAAAGAACTTGAAGAAAGAAGTGGAGATTATTTTGGAGTGGGGAATGCCTTGCCAAATGTAACTTCAAATCCACAAGTCATAAAAAAAAGAAAACTACTGAGAAATTTTATTA